TGTGGCACTGCCCCAGCCCCCACACAGATAAAGTGCTCACTACAGTGAAAGAAGTCGCACTAGTGAAAACGCTGAGTCGCTCCTTCTCAGAGGTCACTTTAACGCACAGAAGGTGTAAGTGCACGGGTTTAAATGAACGCTCGTGGATATAGAAAAATAAGGGGGAGAAGAGGAAAGTGGAGGAGGAAAGTTTGGCCAACAGAACAGAACAATGCAAAGATCTCATTAATATTCAATGTATAAGGAATGTTAGGAGAAACAAAGCAGCACACAGGAAACAATAAATCTCAGATTCTTGCTGACTTACTGCAGCAAAAAAACAACAACAACAAAAAAAACAAAAACATTCTGCAGTTTGTGTGTGTGAGTGATTGTGTGTGTGTTTGGAGGAGGGCAGTAATGGTTACAGGGGAAAACCAGGCCACTTTGCCCATATTGACTGCAGTGCCATGTGACTGCTGTAATCATTAATGTGTCCTGATGCCAATGGGTATCCTGATGACCCACATCTCAGCAGTCCACTCTCTCTTTGGCTGCCACCCAAAGCCCCGACATCTCTCATTCCCTCACACTCTCTCTGCTTTCAAGCACAGCCTTCCCCTTCACACTTTCTTAATCAGCATGAGGGCAACATATCAAAGGTCAGCACTGAGTCTAAAACACACAAAAGTCAATCTACTTCATCATTCTTTCACATAATATTTGCCGGTGTTAAAACGCATCAGCAACTAATCTCCTGACATTTGACAATTTCCATTTTTAGTGCCTTTCTTTTTCGGTCTTTTTTTTCTCCTCCTCCTGTCCTCTGTTCATCTGTCATCTCTTTTTAAACTTTTATTAACCCTTCTGCTCCCATTTCACTCAGTCCCATTGCTGCTGTTATGCATATACAGCTTGAGGCAAAGAGAAGGAGGTGCTGCGGGGGCTGCAGCAAACCTTGTCAGAGAGTCAAGTCCCCATGGAGCGGCTGCAGGTCTGGGGCTGCAGATTAAAATCTTACATGACAACTGTAATAAATAAAAAAGCGACAAAGGTTCTGGTGCAGGATGTGCTGCGAAATCTGGATGGAGTCGGAGGAATTCTACAGAATTCTACCTTCCTGAATCCATCCATCACATTTGTATTCCCCCTTTTTTAAAGGCTTTAGCGTTGATGCCTTAACAGGGTTAATTCATTTGTGAAGATTAATCTGATTAAATATCTTAATGCATTTTGGGCATTACACAGTCAATACACGTGTTGTTATTTGCACAGGGTGGTAAATAAGTCTATGACGCATGAGCCGACTGACAACTGTTGAATGGATTGTGGGGAGTCTGTAGACTGATTAATATTATTGAGGACAAGGGCTACGCTAATGTTTTGATAGCAACTCTTGACACGTTCTACAAACCAGCATTAACATCCACAGTAATGAGTAAAATCCACCAACTCTATGGAAGATTGACATCATTATTACACACAGGAGCTTTGGTTGGATTTGAGTTATACCTTTACATGTTTTCCTTGACATTTTTCCACATAAATACTGAAAACATTTTTCACATACTTAGGATTGATGACTTTCCATGATTAATCATGAATAATTATGATAAAATACAATTACCATTATTAACGATTAATCCACAGATAGCTTATGATTGATCTGATAAAAATGTATTACATTTTTTTAAATCATCACTCAATGAGATCCAGTCTATGTTCCTCTGCAGCCTGAACTATTCAGACACACTAATCTCAGCAGTTTCTCTAACCAACCTTTAATGATTATTTATTCTAATGATCGATGCCGTCAATTGCTGCTCAATAAAAAGAGGATATAAATAAATACATCTGCACCACCTGATCCTACCACGCTGCTTTCTAATTCAACAACTGCTTCAGCTCAAAAACAATAAAAAAAAAATTACCTGACACTCTGTGTGCTGTCGTGTGAGACGGTGTCATCATTATCAACATTTCACTCTTGTAGCACAAGTCACTTGGAATGGCACTTTTTTTTTCAGGACTCCATGAGATGTGAAATTTATTTAACCCTGCTCTTCTCTCTCCTGCACACACACGCACACACACACACACACACACACACACATGTACAGCCCCTTCATTTAACTCTTTACGCCCCACCCACCGCTGCAGGAGTGATTGATGATCACTGGTGTTTACAACAAACATAATGCTTTCCTCCTGTAATAAATCCACTACATGTCCGGCCAACTGTAGCTGCTGTGAGATGTTGTTTAGGAATGCTTGCATTTTGTTTAAAATTAGCCTCAGCCTGCTGACATACGTGACGTTACAAAGACAAATTCTAATAAAAAAAGGACTGGAAATATTGACTGGATCACAGTCCGCCGAGGCTACAGTACGTATCTGCCATCGGTCACATTTTAAGCCTGACATAATTGGAAACAGCTCGGCTATGACTTCATTGGTATTTACTTGTGAAAAGGTCAATTACAGACATTTAGGAGCTCATTCCCGTCAGATATATCGCCTGCAGTGCGGTCAGTGTGTAATGACACAAATCGAGAGCTGCACCTTTAGGGGTAATTCCTACACTGGAGGCCAGTTCTGGTAACTCTATCCTAAAACAAACATATTATGGCTGCCAGAAGGACCCAAACAGTTCTACATTCACAGACTCTTATTTTCTGTCTGTCTTCTGCTCACGTGTCACTCCAGACTTACTTTTTGCTGCTCTGTGCGTTACTTAAGATACGAAGAAGTTTATTATTTTGTTTCACTCATGTCCTGGTATCACTGATAGCAGGTTAGACGTGGGACCAGAGAGACGAAGATTGAATATAAAATAGTGTTCTTTTCTACCTCATTATTATTACTGCTCCTTTTTCCCCATTTACCCCTCAAGGAAAACCAGCTTTGAATGACCCCGAAGCTTTGAAATCCCCCTTTCTTATTTGTTCCATCTGCCTCCCCTCTTAACCCTCATAAAAGTCTCCTCTCCTGCTCCTGATCTAATGCTATTTCAAAGTCTGCCAGTGTCCCAGTTCCTACATTTGGCACATGCTCACCACCGTTTTCTCTCAAGGTCTATCTCTCCCCGGCACTCACATGTGAAACGTATATGCTGCATGAAGTAAGTTGTCCCCAGAGCCCGGTCACAAGCACCCACACACAGACTCAGTCTGTTGGCAAACACTTTTGAGTTAACAAATTCTGTTGCACAAATGAGCATATCAACAACAACAGAAGTCTCACACACACACACACACAGTGGAGACAGCCCAAGCCTGCTGTGGAACAACCACTGGCTGCTGGATATTTTGTAGGCGTGAGTTGATTTGGAGCAGAGGGGTAACACAGAGGAGGAGTTAATTACCCCATACAATCAATAATTCATTATGCTGTCAGTTGGTGTGTCCACGCATCTCCAAATGTGCACTGGCATGTTTTGAGTGCATTTAAGCATGATGACCAAACTCACCCAGTAAGCATATTCTTTCCCTGGGAACAGCAGATTAAGTGGATTGACTCTGTAATGGATTAACCTCTGGAGTGTGTGTGTGCCTGTGTGTGTGGATGTGCGCACGTTCGTGTGTGTAGATCAGAGAACCCGTGTATGAATTGATTATCCTAAGAAGCTTCTCTTCTTCTATTTTAATGACCACATCAGCACTTTTTTTTTTTTGCAACTGGGAGGATAAATGTAGACCTGTCCATCAGGGAAATGAGACACCGCCCCTTTAAGAAGGCTTAGCTGTCAGTCAAGCATTACTCTTGGGAATACTCCCCATAGACTAGGGAGGCCCTGCTGGGTCAGTGTGAGTACACTGATGGATGTTGTATACATGGACTTAGAAGAGTAGGAATGTAAAAGACCTGAGGTGTGAAGGGTTAGGTCACAGTGGGGGTTACAGCTAACTGGTCAAGATTAGAGTTGTCTATATGAAGGGCAATCACTGCAGTGTCAAGACAGTAATAGCTACAGTATGTGAAAGTTGCTCAAGCATTTTCGTTTAGGTACCAGATCAGACTGGAGATCGTCATTTCTTTGGATTTTCGATCCTGAAACTTTGACCAATATTGGAGCGTTACTTAGCCTGGTGTTGTTAGAACCTAGTCCTTGTCACTGACAGTTGTTACATGTATAGTTATATATAGGTAGGTATATAGGTACGTAGGCATAGGTATGAGTAGGAGTAAGTAGCTCAAGTTAGTTAGTTATTACGAATTGTTTGTACATTAGTGCCACCTGTTGACGATCGATTTTTGCCGATTACGATTTCCTTTAATTGACTGCATATACAAATAATATTCCACACAGGTTCTACCGTCAGTTCAACAACTTTCAAAATGAAGTGCTTGGTGAAGTAAAAGAAAACACCGATGTATAAGGCACCGTATAAGGCATTCATTATCTATGCGTCTCAAATTGTTTCCAGAAAGTTCACTGTAGCTGCTGAATGGAAGTTACAGTTAGGCTTGACAAAGGAAGGAGAAAAAAAAAGACCAATTATTCTGCTAGAAACAACTAGTCGCCCACACTCTGTGTCCTTACGCCAACTGAACTCCTCAGAGGTTGGTGTACGTGGTCACACACACACACACACTACACATGCATACACACACATCTCCTCACCCGTGTGTGTGTCCACAATTATAGGTCCACGCTTATTTGTCTTGAGGTATGATTCATGTTCACTGCATTAGATCCTGCTAAACAATGGCTTGATGTGTGATATTAAATAATCAATGCTGCACGCACACACACACACACACACACACACACGCACGAACAGCAGGGCTTCACTGCCCACAAGGTTAGAATGATGACAATGAACTGCAAACGTGTGATATTGTGTACACTCACAGAATGATATTTTGTAGATGATATTGTGTTGAGCAGTTGGGGACTTGGCCAGTGGAGTGGCAGGTTCTTACTGTAGTTATGTTCATTTTAAATAGATCTGTATTGATTGGTGACCAACCGTAACTAGAGATCAATAAGGAAAGAACAACCAAACGGGAGCTCCTACCTGTTTATTGTACTTGTTCCCAGTCTGGCAGCCGTACTCTGAGCACTGGTCGGATCCCAAGGACATGGCATCCGCGTTGCCACTTCCTCCACTACTGCTGCTACTGGATCCAGCACTTCCCACACAGCCTCCACTGCCAACAAAGGTGTTAGATGGAGGCAGCTCCTGAACTGCTTGGTGCTTCTTGCCTTCAGCTGGTGGGGAGTGGGGTTGCAGGTTCACAGCAGGGAGAGGAGAGCTGGATTTGTAGTGCCTTGCTAGATCGGGGCTTGATTGGTGTCTTCTGCCACCTCCCATCCTTGGGCTACCTGGGTCCCCATCTACAGCACAGTAGCGGGCTGCAAGGCGATCGCTAGCACTACTTATCTCCTCCTCCTCGTCGTCATTAGCATGGCGGCGCAGTCCATTGACTGTGACAATGCCACTGTAAAGTGACCTGTCTGACTTTCCACTTCCTGCAGCAGTGCTGCCGCTGCTTCCGTTGCGTTTGTCTCGTCGAGGTTTGCGTCCGCGGTCCGACCCCCCGCCGCGCCCAGCGTGTGGGTGAGCTCCCGGAGGACTGAAGAAATCTTCTTCAGGCTCCTTTTTGCCGGCTTCATAGCCATTCTTGCCTTGTGCACCGCACTGCCGAGCTGTGACTACAAGGAGAATTACTAAGATGACTGCTGCGGCACCAGCCAGGACACCGATCGCGACGCTGAGGCGTTGCTTCCCAAGTGCCCGCTCACTGTCCGGGTTCCCTGCAATATCCATTAACAGCGAAGCCATCATGCTACGGGTGACCTTTGGTGAGAGCAAAATGAAAAGCAAAAAAGAAAGAGAAACAAACAGTCAGTGAGGGAGAAAAAAGTGCAGAACAAAGATGACACAGTGGGTGAGAACAACAGAGAAACATCAAACAGCATCTTCAACTTAATTAAACTCATCACTGCGTTTTAGTCACGGGGAGCTTCTCCATTATTCCCAGACACACAGAGTCACTTAATATATAATTGCTTCTGCTTCTGTGTTGCACCATTTCAAGTTCAGCCTGTATTCCTCCACAGTAACGCAACATCGTCTGCAGTCGTACAATAAGCTCCAAAGATTATTCTGTTTAAAGTTAATCAAAGGAATAAAGGGAAGCTTTAGACACTTGGAGCTTGGCAGATAGACGTTAGAAAGGTAAGAGTCAATAAATGTGCAAATTAAGGCGAGAGATATTCTCTGACTACATTCCCAAAGTCTTTTGTCCCATGAATGAACAAACATCTCTGTTGTAGAGGGCAGGAGGCTTTTACCATCGCTGTGTGTAGCACTCGACTATAGAGAGTACAATCATTGTCAACACAACACGCACACAGTCTGCGCTGTGCAATAATGAAATGATCATTACAAGAAATTGGGTTATGCCGAGGCACAAACACAGCCGTTACAGGTAGAGTTTGGTTTGCCTGAGCCCCATAAATAAAATAGACAGAGACAGGTAGGAATATGCCATCAAAAAAGGCCTACATATTGTATAAGGTGTTCGTTAGCGAGACAAATCACTCCGCAGCCCGGTGACACTGTCTCGTAGCTCCTATGTATAATGAATCCTTTGGCCTGTCAAGGCTGTTACTTATTCACTATTACTCCAGCTGCCACAACATCCGTGGGTAATAGGGCTTACAGGAAAGAACTGGAGATGGAGTGCAAAGGTTGCTCTTCGACACCTGTGACTTGTATTGAACAAATAAACGAAAACGCTAAGACGTGCAGCAGGGCAGGGCTGAGTATCTACTCGCACAACTGCACTGTGTAACTTTCTAATTACATTGTTTAAGGCATATTTGGTCTATCCGTCTGGGGCCCCATTATTGCTCTTACTTCTGCCCTGAGGCACGAAATGGCTCTGTTGTTCTCTATTGTTCCATTTCCATCTATATGTGGGATAGCTTTCATTGTTTTCAGCAACTTGTGTTGGTTACATTCCATTATTCTGCTCCAGCAGCACAGGGCCTTCTTTTAGAGCAGGCTCCACTCTCCCCTCAGCACTATTGTTCTTCTTCTTCTTTTGCCTGCAGTATTCCTCTCCATTCTCATTCTGCTGGGCATCTCCACGGCTTAGCCATCCATGCACTGTCTGCTCTATTGTATGCGCAAAACGGAGGGGGGAAATGGCGATGCGCCGCCATATGGGCATACAATATATGAATAAATGAATGTAAGCAATAGCCAGATTGCGTGCGGGAGTGAACGTGCCAGGATTCTTTATCTGACCTTGAGAGGCACATTAAAAAGTAAGGGGGGTGTGAGTCAACTTGCCTGGATGTGTGTGAACAAAGAGAAACCCCAATGAGTCTGAGCTGTGTGTCATATACTGTAAGTGCAGAAATGCTGTATGTGGGAACGGGAAGTGCAGGACAGTTGGGCGCTCAGCTGTGAAAGTGCAGCCCCCACCTCCACTGCTGTGTTGAAGTGCATCTATCTGATACATCCCAGAATCCCGTTGGTGTTCTCTTCTGTGCCCAACAGTATTTAGTTTTTGTTTTTGTTTTTTCCGTGCTTGTGTGATGCAGTGACAGAGTCTTTGTCACTACTTGTCTGGACATCGTTCCTTGCCAGATGTTCACATTACTGCTGACAGGGACAAAGGAAATCAAAAATAAAACCAGCCATTTAGAGTTGCAAAGTAAATTCTATTCGCCCTTAAAGTAGGCTTTCTGGTTGCAATTAAAGTTTGGAAACATGTTTTCCCAACTCGACTTAAATCCTTTGAGAAAATCAATACTTTTAGCTTAGGGGAAATAAGGGGTGCTGGCCTGAGCAGTGGGTTCTAAACACGCTTAAATCACAAGACACACTTAAAAAAACATTCTCCGTGGAATTTGATGGGGGAGAGTAGGGAGGGTCTGCTCTTCAGTCTGGAGACCAAAAAGCTGTTTGAAGAGATAGAACCGTAAATATATTACAACATCTAAGACCGTTCTCCCTGCATGTCTCAGACCTCTCTGCTGACCTGCCTAGAAAGTGACTCGTTTTAGTTGTTATACATTTACGGCTTATCTGCACAATGGAGATTGTAAGTTTTTATTCATTTGGACAGAACACTGGCTCCACATTTTTTAGAAAATAGAAAGCATTCCACATTTAAATGTTCTTAATTTGAGATAAAATGCTAATTGCAAGAATGTGAATAAATTATCCCTAGAAAGCTACATCAGCCTCACAGTACATTGTGCGTGGGATGAACAAAGAACAGCTTTTTTTTCTTCTTTTCTCCCTGTTTTTTTTTTTAAGATGAAAACAACTATGTCTGAAATATCACAACCAAATCCCTTCCTCTCACAGAAGCTCAAACTTTGCATCTTTTTCTAAACTAATTAATTGGTTCGCTTTCTACAGTTGGACAGAAAAGGATGGAGTCATTTTTTGCCATGTTGCTACGGCAGTAGCAGCTGATTTCCTTCCCTAATTATATCTGGCATCCATCCACCATTCACTTTGACTTCATTATGAGATGGAGGTATTCTCTCTTCAATGACTTATAACCAATTACTCCACTAAGTTCCTCCCTACAATCAAACTAAACTAAGCGTATTGTAATCAAAGATGGCTTTTACACCCGCTTGGATATATAACACTCCATTGTGTGATTCAATAGTGGTGGTCATTTAGGCACATTGCAGTTAATTCCACGTGTCAACAGCATTGTTCCACCGCTTAAAGCTTAAGTGTTCTGTTTCAGTCCTCGCCCCTTGATTGTTCAATTTGTACGTTTCATTCTTGTCTAAATGACAGCGTTGCTCTCACATGAGGTGCTGTTTGCTGGATTGTGCTCAAAACCCACCCCACATATCCACACAGTTGTGGGTCTTTGTTAAAAAAAGAAATGCCAGAAAATGCAACACATTTGTATGACAATTTGTCTCCACGTGGGGTCAGTCAGCCTTCCTGGGCGGTAATTACACTAAATGTTTTTTTTCTTCTACTCAAGCACAAAATGAAGCTTTTAGTGTGATTTACTGAGCCGAACCACACTAAGAACTATATGTTTAAAGCTTGTGTTCTGTCAAAACCACACAAAGCCAAGCTCATGACGACCTGACTGGGGCGACGATTGCTTGCTGCTAAAGAATGCACGTTACACAATGAGGAAGCACCCAAATGTTAACATGCCTAGTTTGCCCCAAGGAGGCTTTGTGTTTCAAAACAAGTGCACTGTGAGGTGTGCTCCCATGATTGCATCTTCCTCACCGTCTCGGCTAAGGTGACTGCCTGGACATAGACGAGCCCCATCAAACAACGGCGTAGACTGGATATTTTTAGCTATCATAAAGAGCTCGATTTTCATTCTTTTTGCCTCCTATCTACCTGACTGCTCTGTTCCCCTGAAATATCTCAGAGCTATTTTGAGTGTTGCACTGTTTGCGTCACATTGCATGCACAGACCTGACAGGGGAAAATATTATTCTCAGGAAGTAAAGGAGAGACGATTTCAAAACCAAGTGTCAATAAGCCCCTTTCAGCAGCAGGCCATTGTCTCAGAACACCTCGTAACTTGGATAATTGAGATGTTCGACAGATATTGCAGTAAGTCACTTCACAAATGACTAGCCTTAAATCACTGACACTTTTATCACCTGTCAACATTTGGAACTTAATTAAATTACGTTAATTGAAGTTTAAATTATAATGAGAAGTGATCCGTACAGAGACAGGAATGATCCCGCTAGAAGAGCTTATGGTGAATTTGAAACCGTTCAGTTTCAGGTTGGTCTATTATTGTGGTCTATGTAATGCCTGGCTGTTCTTTGTACTTTGAATGTGATACACAACACAACACAATCTCCCAGACTTACCATATTCAGGTGCTGCTGAAGTAAAACCTGTGTTTCAAATGAACATCTTTCATGTTGGGTATTCACAAACCCGAATCTGGGACAGGTCCATCTCTCAGACTCTCACCCTTTTACACCTCAGCTTTCTAGCTTCCTCTCGATTATTCTTTTTATAGATTTAAGGTCATTCATAGGTAAACAAAAAGAATCTCTGACCCAGTATTCTCAAATTCCTCAAATGGAACAAAACACTAATCATAACCTCAAACAATAGAAGTTGAAACTAAATAATAGTAATAAATAATAATGAACTGCAAAGGATTGAACTGCATTGAACTAACAGTTGTCCTCATAGCCCTAGTAAAGTCCTGCACTGCGGACACACACAGAATTAGCTTTGATTAAATGACCATGTTAACAATAGCATTATTTCATGCACACCTTTTTAAATAGGCTCTATAAAGACCATAGTGATTCAGGACTGTGGGAACTGAACTACAAAGAGGTAACATTTCAAAAACCATTTTAGAGAAAAAAGGGTTTCTATTTCCAGGACAGATATAGACATCATTATTTCCTCAAAAATTTGAAGCGCCACACAGCGTGTGGAAATCCTGCATTTATCTCATTCTGTCATGCAAATCATCTATTTTTCCAGATTAAACGGCAACAATCAGTTGTCATTATCACCCTCCTCCGCTATAATGTGTTATCACTGTTATTTAAATGAATCAAAGGCCGCTATCATCAAGATCATTACGGCTTATCATTACCAGCTTAGAGGAACAATGGAAGTCTGCACACAACTAAACACTGTTTCAGCACCGCTTAGAAAAAGCTGTTTCTTGTCATTAGGACTTCATTTGCTGTGACAAAAAAAAGAATTTCAGAAACCATTTTTAATCATTACCTGAGCTTCCACTAGCGAGGCATTGGCCACACTCTCATTAATGAAGACGTGAACCAAAGCAGTGGCACACAGAGAGGGAACTCCACTATCGTTGACCCGGACCACCAGGCGATGCAAACCTCTGTGGCGACGCTCCAGGGGTTCGACTAGGGTGATTACTCCATTGGTGTGGCCAATCTCAAACAGTCTGAAGGGGTTTCCCCCAACCAGATCATAGTAGAGGTCGGCATTTGGGCCTGTGTCTGAGTCAACGGCCGTCACGGTCCTGACCACAGTGCGAGCGCTGCTGGCGGGAGGGAGAAGGGTGTAGGAGTTGTTGGTTGGATAGGTGATGGAGGGGGTGTTGTCATTTTCATCCGTCACAAAGAGTGAGACAGTAGCAGTGGCGGTTTTGCGTGGCTCCCCTCCGTCGACGGCCCTAACACGGAAGGTGTATGTGGACAGTTTTTCACGGTCAAATGACACTGAAGAGAAGATAGTTCCTGTGTTGTTCTCAATGGAAAACACATCGGCACCTCCCTCCTTGTCACTCTCCGTCTTCTCCCCTCCTTTCTTCTCATCCACTCCATCCATTTCTACGAACAGACTAAGTTCCGCATTCTCGCCTTGGTCATCGTCAGTCACTGTAACCATGCCAACTGGGCTGTTGGCAAGCAGGTTCTCTTTGACATAGAACGTGAAGATTTCCTGAACAAACTTGGGTGCGTTGTCGTTTCGGTCCGTCACCTGGATAACAACAGTGGCAGAGCCTTGTAGAGGGGGGGTGCCCTTGTCCTTGGCTATGACTCGAAGTTCGTACCTCTCCCTTTGCTCGCGATCCAGCACCCCTGTGGCACGGATGTCCCCGTTATCTGCATCTATGTAAAATGGGCCGTTAGCAGGGCCGTCCAGAGAGTAGGCGATCTCTGCATTCTTGCCACTGTCTGCGTCTGAAGCTACGACAGTAACTACCCTCTCCCCGGGTGAGTTGTTCTCTGCAAAGTGGACCTCGACAACATTTTGGGCAAAGGCAGGGGCATGGTCATTTATATCGACCACTCGCACCATCAAAGAACTATTACTGGACAGACTGGGGCTTCCAGAATCCACGGCCACGATGGTCACGCTGTACTCTTTGGTGGATTCATAGTCCAGCAGTGCAGAAGTATGAAGGAAGAATTTTTTCTTGTTCCTG